TCTTTATTTACAGTCTATGGTTGTGACGACCAACATGGATAAAGCGTGTGGGTGTTTTTGCCCAGTCAATAATGTCCATGAGGGTTATGTTTTAAAAACGTTTGAAGTAAATGGACGGACAGATTCACAGCTGCTCATCTGGAAATCAACAGTGGACTCAGAGATGCTCCTGCAGAGTTTGAAGTTGAAGTTGTCGAGGAAATCGAAGGAGAGAAAGTCAGATTCCTCTATTTATTATTTGCACTAGTGGAAAATAAATATTAAAAACAGTTATCAGAGGCCGAGACGTCAAACCTCCCAAGTATTTCTTTCCATAAATGTCTTCACTAAGCTTCACTAACAACCACAGCTAAGTGGTCCAATAACATATAAATAAAACATAGAAATCGACCCAGGGTTTTCTGAGGGTGCAGTTGCAAACACAGAGAAGTTGTAGCAGATGGCATATTTCACAAAGAGCAAACTATAATATCATATAATATATATAATCAGGTTATGATCCAGGCTAAAAGCAGCTGTTAAAATGTCTGAAATAAAAGGTTTATAATATTAGTGCCCCCTCATTAGAACATGAGTAGATGAGACTGTATTTGTGCAATGCATGGCTTTGCATGAGAATTTCAAAGTTATTCTATCAACTGAAATATCATTGGTCTCTCATACTTTCACATCACACAAGTACAACACTTTCTAGCAGCAAGATGACAGGAGGAGGCCTCCTACACAGGAGCACGCTCCTGCTGAGGAGCTGGGCCTCAAATAAAACATCTTCAGAGAGAGCCGAAGAGGTTCGACAGTCTCTGAACACTCTCATCTTCCCAGGAGACGCTCGCACAATCTGCCCACTGAGCTCTACGGGGTCGTCTACGAATGACGATGCCACTTTTCAAAAGAAGAGATTGGTCAGACGGTGATGTTTTTCTCGCATGCTTATCTCAAACATAACCCGCTCCGGACATAAGTTACCGTGGAGATTTGAACCACAGCCTCTACGCCTCAGTTTGTGTCTTCATGAAAGCAGCCCACGTCTCTTAGCTTGTTCTCATTTTTTCCATCAAGAGAACATGCAGAGTTTTTTTTTTTTTTTTTTGTGGAATCGCAGGTGGCCCAGTTCAGGCCACAGGAGACACCGAACCTCACACTTCAGGTGTAAGAGACTTTTCACAGGGGTGAGAATGTGGGACGCTGCAGGTGCTTCTGAAGCAGCCGGGCTGTGAACCTGCCATCTCCCTGCAGTGTGTCTTAATGGAGCTGCAGTGTTTGACCTGGAGGAGACCTGGCATGTCAGCGTCAGACAAAATCGCTTTAGTTATATGATTTCTGTTGTTTTAAAAGGTTTTGTAAAGTCTCATAAATATTTTTTTATATTTATACACCACAGTAAATTCCTTGTATGTGTCAACCTGCTTGGCAATAAACCCAAACCCCAATCTTTTAGCCAACAGTTTCAAAAGAATGTGTGAAGGATGCACGTTAAAATCATGCACTGTATACAAATAATTTACATTTTGATCATAAATCACTTCCTGTTAAATTAGTAAAACTCACAAATAATATTGAGCAAAAGCATCAGATTTAGAAGTGAACCAGGACTGAGAGAGAAATAAATGTGGCTTTTAATTCTATGGTTTCTTTTATTATGTATATTTTATCATTATATATTATTATACCTTATACTATGAACATTATTTTATTGTTTTCTTTTCCATTGATCTCTAAATCCTTCTGAATTTTTAATCCATTTTTAACATTATATATTTTGTCACCCACTGATTAAACACTTTGAATTGTTTGATTGATTGGTTGATATTATGACGCAGAGCTTTTTCACGGATGAAGAGATAAACATCTTGAAGAAATTCAAACTGTATGTGGAGGACAACTGGAACAAGTGTGACATGGTCGCCATCTTACTCTTCGTTGTTGGGGTTTCTTGCAGGTCGGTAACATTAAATGACCCTGAAAGAAAAAAAACAAGGCTTTAGATTTGTTGTTACGAGTATTAATGTTTGTTTAAATTGATTTCGCAGGATGGTCAGTGACACATATGAGGCCGGCCGGACGGTCCTGGCCATCGACTTCATGGTTTTCACTTTACGTCTGATCCACATCTTCGCTATTCATAAGCAGCTCGGCCCCAAAATCATCATCGTGGAGAGAATGGTGGGGAAAACAAAACGCTTGTATGTGAGCATGGAAGTCAAACGCAAAGACACTGCCGACCTGAAGAGGTCTAAATAAAAGTATGTCTCCTTCTTTACAGATGAAGGATGTTTTCTTCTTCCTCTTTTTCCTGAGCGTGTGGCTCATTGCGTACGGCGTCGCCACCCAGGCTCTTCTCCACCCCAATGATCCCAGGATCGACTGGGTGTTTCGTCGAGCCCTGTACCGCCCCTACCTGCACATCTTTGGACAGATCCCCCTGGAGGAAATAGATGGTACATTACACTGGTAACAATTTCTGGTTAATGTTTCCGGTTCATCCATACAATAGTTTTGTGTCTTCTTGTTCTTTCCTCACAGCTGCTCGCATGCCTAATATTAACTGCACCAACGACTCAGAGGAGATCATCTTGGGTCTACGGCCGCCGTGTCCCAACGTCTACGCCAACTGGCTGGTCATCCTGCTGCTGGTGATCTTCCTTCTCGTCACCAATGTCCTGCTCCTCAACCTGCTGATCGCCATGTTCAGGTCAGGAGGGGAGAGAGTCCGCACAACTGTCCATATGTCTGAGGAAATGAGTTCAGCTTATTGTGTTTTTCTTCTTGTTGTCCCCGATACTTACAGCTACACATTCCAGGTAGTGCAGGGCAACACGGACATCTTCTGGAAGTTCCAGAGATACAACCTGATCGTGGAATACCACAGCCGCCCAGCGCTGGCTCCACCCTTCATCATCATCAGCCACCTCTCTCAGATCCTCCTCAGCCTGGTCAAACGGCCCGAGTCCAAGCAGGAGCATCTGGGTACAAAGGCTCCATCTGCATATTTCAGCATTTTCCCAATCAGGGACCGTGACGACATTCTGCCTCGTTTCAAGCAGATGAAATAGTTTCTTGTGGCTTATCTGGTTAAATTAAAATTAAATGGAATAGAGGCAAACACACACTGTGCTTTTATCTCTGGCCTTCACCTTCTCCGTCCATGGAAATTGCCTGTTGTTTAATTGGATTTCGGAATGCCTCACTTTGTGTGTGTGTGTGTGTGTGTGTGTGTGTGTGTGTGTGTGTGTGCATGTGCATGACTTTCTATGACTGTCTCGGTTCAAATCCATTTTTGTGAGGACATTTTGTCCGGTCGTCACAACTTTAAAGTCCGTTTTTGAGTATTTTGAGATCAATAGACATTTAGATTGATTGATTGATAGAGTGAAACTTATTTATAAATATGTTAATCGAAACATCATAAAATGACATTGACAGGTGCTACTTAAAACCTGCAACACAGAGACTGATGATACAAGACAGGCTGGGGTTGAGGTTTGGTATTTAGTTGTGATCTATAGAAAGATAAGTCTGTGTGTGTGTGTGTGTTTTGTCAGAGAGGGAGCTGCCAGTGGGGCTCGACCAGAGGCTGATCACATGGGAGACGGTGCAGAAAGAGAACTACCTGGCCAAAGTGGAGCGCCAGCACTGGGAGAGCAGCGAGGAGAGACTAAAGAGCACCTCCTCAAAGTAAATCTCATTTAGTCAAATACTCGGGATGTAATAATATTCAACAAATCAGCTCTGATAAACCCACTGCACCTAAACCAGCACCACAGCATAGCTTGTTTTAAAGCTCTTCTACTCCCTAGTGGTGATAGTGGATAACTGCAGCGCTGGCTGTGGCTGTGGCTGATTTTTATTTGTGACCCAGGGTTCAGAGCTTGCTGAGGATTGTCGGTGGGTTTAAAGACCAAGAGAAGCGAATGGCATCCATGGAGGCTCAGGTAAACCTTGGATAAAGTTTCCAGAAAAGTAAACCACCTGTATTACAAATATTCAGCATTTTTTCAGGTAATAAAAAATCTATCAAATCAGGGTTCGAATTGACTAACAGTTTAAATAATCCTCGGCCGTTCTGTCTGCCTGGTCTCCAGGTCAGATACTGTGGAGAGGTGTTGTCCTGGATGGCCGAGTGCTTCGCTCAAAGCACGCTCAAGTGTGGGAAAGAAGCTCCAAATGCTCCGAGTGAGTATAAAAACCAGACACAGGAACCGACTCGTGATTTACTGTGAAAATAGACCAAAAAAAAAAGCTCTTTCACTGTTACTATTGTGCATTTAATATTAATATGGCATTACATTTCAGCATCTCTGGGGGGGTGCAAGGCGAGCAGCAACAAGGATGCATCTCAAAGTCGACCAGAGAAAGAGGAAAGTGGAGAGGTCAGACCAGGTCACCCAGGATATGGAGCTAACAAAAAGTTTCCATATATTGATGAATAATGTAACAGTGGCTGAAAGTGTGCGGACAGCTAATCACTTTATTTAACATTATATAACTTCTGTAAGATGTAAGATGATTTTGAGAGAAAAGGGGGATTTTGTTCGGACTATAATTTAAATGTATAAAATAAAGATGCCTGCCTGGTGTTTGGCTGTTGTTGCATGTCAGGACACATTAATGCCTGTGTGGCTTCCTGTTGTCGTCACACACCCTAACAACACGTCTCTGACTGTTCTGTGAAACACAAGGTGGAGCAAGTCATCAAATTAGTCACTCAGTAAAATGACAAAAACATACAGGAATAAACCTCAGTTGAAAATCTAATTTTTCTATTATAATGTTACACCAGTAATCCGATATTAACCCCAATGATTAAGACGTGAACAGCATTTTCTGATGACCTTAACCTGAATTAAGGTCATCGGTGAATAATTTAAGACATGTAAAGATTTCTGAACTCAGTCTCAGTGTGTATACGTCTTACTCACACTATAACATCCTAGGTGAGATCTCACAGTATTTAACAACGCTGACATGTAGATCAGAATATGCTCTGTAACATGTAAATATGAATATGAAAGTAATATTTTATTAGCAACTCACGTAAATGTGAAATCTTAATAACATGTTTTTCAGAATAAGGTAAATTGTCAGAATGTAAAACAAGTCATTGTATGGTCTACTGAAGTTAGCTTAGCTTTAATTCAAGGCAGCATTTGATTCCAAACATTCAATTATTAATATTGTATTAACATTTATTATTTTTTAAGTGTAACTATTGTTTATACAGTGAAATCAATACGATGATAAAGCAAGCTTAAAATCTTTATCTACATCTGTAAAAGCTTAGCAGGCAGCATGATATATCAGAGTATGTGATGTGAGATTTACAGTACATCTACTCTTGAAATATCCTTATAAGTCACATTTGGCAGGAGCTACGAGTGAAAGGCACAAATTAAAAGTACAATGAGCAACTTCTGCTGCGCTGTCATGTCTTCAGCAAAAATATACAGTGTTGATGAAACAGAAAAATCCACGTTGACAAAGAGTGTGCGTCACAGAGACATAATCAGGTCAGAAGAGTAAAACAAAATCAATAAATGAGCACGTGAAATTGAAAACTGATATTCCATATCCTGACAATGACCTACTTTTAAACCCCCTGTGGAGCTTTATTGTAAACACAACCACGTTTACGGTCTCAATTAAATGAATTTCCTTCCTCACAAAGCAGACCTGTGAATATTCTCAAACTTGCATTGTCTTTAAACATCCATAAATACACCAACTTTTACACTTTTTCTTCAGTCTCTCTTGGAACAGTTCTTGGAACCTTACCATGTTACCACAACCAACTATCCAACATAGTAATACAAACGAAACCAATCATCTGACATACATAGCCATTCTTCTGTTTAGAAGACATGACCAGACTTGATTCATGCTTTTGCTTTAAAACAGATTGTGGACGACATCACTCTCTGTACGTACATGTGCATCCTTGTGTGTGTGCTAGCAGAGGAATAGGTACAAAAATTATTTTAAAAAAGGTCTTAAACTATTGTAAATGTCAAATGTACCAACTCCAGCAACCACAAGAAAAGAGCAAAGTCTGTAGTAATGCTCAGTCTGCAGGCAGCATGAACACATCCTTAACTGGAGCTGAAGGAACATGAACTATTTAAACAATTGGTGCCATGTGGGTAAGCACATAAATTGCAAAATTAACTATAAAATGAATGTATTTTTTTCTATTTTCATATCATATCTTCATATCTATTCAAATAAAATATGAGTTGGCATTCAAAATCTGGCAAACAAATAAATACTAGCATTTTGGCTGTTCACAAAATATAGATAGATATCCCTTCGGATGTCTACCAATAAAATGAACTAAGCAGTATTGAAACATTGGGATAAGTGTTGTACTGATATATATATATATATATATATATATATATATATATATCAGCATAATGACAATCCCATAGATATGAGTTTGACTTTAGTCCCTCGAAACCGATGCCTCATGCCCTCTAGGCTGCACCGTTGGTACGTCACGATGAGGCATATTGTCAAAACGCGACGTCACATCACAGCGGATAAGTAAGGTGTCATCTTTAACAAAGGCTCTCTGATTCAGCTGATTCAGGTGCATGAAGGTGACGTAGCCAAATCCTTTGGGATTGCGCTGGATGGTGGGCTTCTGAAAGGCTTGCAGGTCTGGCTTAGTTTCCATCACCTCCATGTGGTTTTGACCCTCGGGGCCCTGGTCGAGGATGGCGAGCCGGATGGTGCCTTGGAACGGCCAGGTCAGCTCCCCGTCAAAAGCTCCCTGCATGGTGTGGACAAACAGGGAGATGAAGTTGGAGCAGCGCGGGGCGTTGGGTGTCTGCAGGTGTAAACGCAGGCACAGCTTGTAGCCTGGGTAGCCCGTGTAGAAGCCAGGGCTGTGCTCGACCACTGGGAGTCCAGCTTCTTGTTTCTGCAGGTGGGCAGAGAAACCTTTGAGGTGCCAGATGAAGATACCATGGCACTGCTGGGCCTCCAGCGCCTTTACAGTTTCCTCCAGCATTGACACCCTACGCCGGAGCTCTACAAGCTGACCTGCCTGTGAAAGAGACAGAACAAGAGTTTTAAAGAACAGAGGCTAAGACGATTGTGACAAAATCTAAAAAAATCTACGGACGAGATGTTTCCAATGAGAAGGGAATGAAAATTAGGCTTATTTGAAGGTCAACCATGGCAGAAAGGGCCAAATTGTAAATCTACACAAATCATGTGAATGCACATTAGCACTCGGACTCTGACGTCCCCTACCTGTGTTTCTTTTAAGATGGTGAGCTCACGTAGCCGGTGATCCTGCGTCACCAATCGTCCATCCATCTCTCTGAGCCGCTGCATCTCGTCATTAGGCTGAGCCGAAGCACAGTTGATGCTGCCGCCTGAAGCCCCTCTGAGCCCACTAGAGGAAGATAGCGATGCTGCAGCTCCTTGATCCTCTGAGGAAACAGAAGGTCCATGCGCCCACAGGGATTTGGGTGTGGTGCCATTGAGGCTAAAGCCACGCAGGAACTCAGCCATGTACCACATGTGCATCTGTGTGAACTCCTGCATGTGCTGTGCCAGGTTATGGCGCTGCATCTGCAGAAGCAAACACATTTTCTTTGTGACATCTGGTTTGGGGACTGACTTCTCAAGGATTGAACAATTTCTTTCTCGTGTGTAGGAGATTTGTCGAAAAAGAAACTTTGAATTTGATCACCTACCCTTTCCTTACATCCAAAGGTGCTAAAGTTACAGGCGATGGGTGCTTTTGGGCAATCTGTGTCACAATGAGATTCAATCTGCAAACAGAACATCTTCAGATTAGTTTCACTCATGTTTATTTACTGAAATTGGGTTTTATTTCAAGATTAAAGTTATTACTGTAAAATCGTGGGCAAATTAAATGAAGAAAGAAGTAAATTAAATCTAAAACAAAAACCATTTAGACATCATGAAGCATTGGGTGCCACCTGTGACGTGCACGGTGACTGTGTTTGGAATGGTTCCCTGTCTTTTAAATGAAAGAGAAGTTCCAGTGAGAAACAATTCACTACTTCTCATTAGAACTGATCAACCAGATCCTTTTTTCATGGCATTGTTGCACTCACCTGGTCTCTGATGAGATCCATCTCACAGTACTGACACTTCACGTTAGCAAAGGGACACTGCTGCTCGTGAAGCTGAGGGAAGAACAAAAAAAAGTAAGACGAGAAACCCTCACAGATACACAATGCAACTACTGCTATGAGAACAATTATGGAAAAAAACACAGGAATGGAAATTGAGTATGTGAGTCAGCAGTACCTCGCTCTCCTCATAAACAAAGCATGCCACACAATCAGGACATGACACAGGTCTCCTTTGGCACTCAACAGTTGTGTGCTCCTCTAAGTGGCTCTTTCTCACAGACTGCTGGCACTGTGGGCAAGGCGCCGTCGCAAACTGACACTGAGCCAAATGATTCTGGAAAGAAAATGACATATTGAAACAATGCCGTTAATAAGACTCTATGTGGGGCAGCAGCAGCTCATGTACAACACTGTTTGTCTACACCAGAGGAAGATGAAGCTCTTTACCCGACAGTCTTTTTAGGTCTGCTGGAGTTATCAGCAGTTCAACATGTGGACAATTGTTTCTCTGACTAAGATGCAGTAAGTTCTCCAGTATAATATTTGCACTTGTTGTGCAGAAAACTTCTTTAACAGTGAAGTCCAGACATTTTCCTGAATTTTTACAGAGGGGCTGTACATGTCACACATGTCCAACTAAGTTGCTCCACACATTTCCCACCAGCACCCTCGTAAAATGTCTGGAACATGTCAGTGAGCCCACAGGAAAACACTGAAGGAAAATTTCCAGAAAATTAACCTTTTAAAATGATTTAAATATAATTTCAATCTCATAACCAGCTTAATTTTAAATCACTGTCCTCTTAGCTAAAGTTTCCATAACAATGACTGTCACCCCTTCAATTCTCACCTCCAAATGTCGTAGCTCCATTTTATCAACACAACCAGAGTTTGGACAGCAAACAGTTAGTGATAGAATCTCCCGTTTGGCAAAGTTATCAGGAAACAGCTGATCTTCCGACAGCATTTCGTTGTCCACAGGGCATCTCTGTCCTGTGTCACTGTTTGAGCAAGAAGAGGAGTCATTTAGTCTGAGCAGGGAGATCATCAGTTACTGCACAGCGATTTATATTTGAGTAGGAAAACTAGTGTCAGTGAAAGTATTATCATCTATCACTATCTAAGATACTGCTCAGAAAATGTACATATTGTTCTGTTACTAATAACACATTGACAACTTTTCAAGAGTGAGCCATAAGGTTAGTGTTTACAAATGTCTTCAGTTTTATTTGGAGAGCTTCACAATAACATACCGAATGGATTTCTCAATGCAGTTCTTGCAGAAACGGTGACCGCAGGGTGTTTGAACAGCATTCCTAAGAGCCATGAGGCAGATAGGGCACTCGTATTTACTCTCCAGGGGCGGGTCAAACTCCACGTCGTAGCCCTGGAGGGGGACAGCAGCCTGAAGACTTGTGGAGTTGCCGCTGATGAGGGTACCAGAGCTCTCTGATGGGCTGAGAAGGGATTCTCGCTCTTTTTCCAGCATTGCCAAAGCACAACTAGACAGCTCTCCACCAACAGCTCCTTCATAGCTATCCTCCTCCAGACTCCCCTTGACATCAAAGCAAGCCATCTGTGGAGAGTGCAACAAAAATGAGCTTTTAAAAAAAAAGTAACTGAACTAGGGCAGCCAGGTTCTGTCACAAGATATAATCCAGAGACTCCTTAACTCCTAAAGCACGAGAGGTGTTAAAACTCTCTAACATGCTGTAGATACTGTTATGGTACATAGACAATACTTTACACTATAGCTAGTTTATAGTGTGAATAGCATTTCTAAGAGAATGCTTTACAGCTGCAACTAAAAAGTAAATTTGTTTGCTTGCAATTTAGCTTACCAATTCTTCAGATAGCTTTAATCTATTTCCAAAAGGGCCTGTTTTGACCAGCCCCCCCACATACCTAGTTTGCTATCTCATGAGACAAATAAATACAGAAGATTTCGAAGAATTGAGAACCAGACATTCAGAAAGACATATTTAAACTTTTGAATACCTTAAAGTGGCCTAATCGAGGAGATAAAAAAAGCTTTGTATAACTTTTCAAGGCCAGCAGAAAGCGTGTGACTATTGAGCCTTTAAATTGAATTGAGTGAACTTCCCCTGCACATGGTAACTCATTAAATGAAGAGGGAATGTGTAACAAAACAAAAACTAACAAAACACAACTAGAGATCCATCTTTAACTGAAGACACAGCATTTATCCTTCCCTTCAGACCATCTAAGAAGCTTCTGTGGTCAGACTAGCACACAGGATCCTTAATGACCCGTCACGCATTCTGTTCTCTGTGTTAAACCAACCGCCTCAAGCTCTAATTCATCCCAGCGTCCATCACACTGCTACACTTTGGCTTGTAGGTTTTAATGCCAGTTTTTGTTTTTCATCTTTTATGCCTTTTGCCTAAGTGTTTTTAGGGCAACTGCAATACGCAACCCACTTTTATTCTTGGGTTGCATTATTAATGGGTTGTGAATCGTGGAGGCAGCTGACTGCTTGATAGACAATACACCTTCTCACGTATGCTGCCATTACTGACAATAACTCCTCCATTCATATGTCACTGCTGCTCCCTTCTTCTCTATCAGCCATTTATTCTAATGTATAAATACATACTGTTATCTTGCTGATGCCGGGAGAGGGATTTACTTTATAATTTTTTTTTTAAAAAGTACAAATTGATTGATTGATTAATATTCTGGCTCTTACACGATGTGTCCTTGTGACCTGTTTTTTTTTTCTTCTGCAGCTGTTGCAGCACTTTACCCCAAGAAACATTTCCCCCCCTACTGGGACGATAAAGTAACATTTGACCTACATTAAACTGATAAAAAAATATATATTTCTGATAAACACACGATCGAATGTGTCGAAGCATTAGCGACGGTGTGTTTGTAATGTTGTCACTTGATGAGCAGCCATGCCCCTGGATGCGGAACTTACAACTGTAGCGTTGAAATGTGGAGTGAAAGGAAAGACACAGACACGGGAGACAGAAACAAACACGAGGGATGAGGTGGAAACAGAAAAACAGACAATTAAAAGCAGAATTCTAACAAACAAACGCACCTTTGACGCGAGAAAACTCCTCTTGACTTTTGGTTTTCGGGCTGAATTTCCTGTTTCCCTCCCCCCACCCCGCCCCCCCAGACGTCATCGAGGAACGGCAGCAGTCGCGCTGTTCCCCAGCAGCGCCCCCGCGCGACCGGAGGCCGCGGCGCTCCAAGAAAGCCAGCGGAGACAGAAAGATGGCGGACCTCGGGAAAATCTGTCCCGAGTCTTCGCCCTGTCGCGTCAGCTGTCCGGGGAAAGCACCGTCGTGTCAGGGGAAGCTCCTCGTCCTCCTCTGCCTGCTGATAGCGGACTCCGGCGGAGCTACGACGCACTGGGTCGTCACGGAGGACGGGAAGATCCAACAACAGGTAAGCTAGCTAGCTAGCTTAGCTCATTGCCCTCCTGATAGCTGCGAACGTTAGGCGGCTAGCCTGTGTGGCTAACTGTTTTGTTAGCATTAACACAGAGGGGTCTTTTTCTTTTTTAATTTTATATATGATTTTATCTCATTTAATATTTATTTTATTGAACTATTGTCAGATGAACTCAACGCCAGTCGTCCACTGTTGTTTCAAGAATTACGTGAAATGAGCCCAAGTCACCTCAAATGTGACGTTGTCGTTTGGTGTTTGAGGTCAAGATGACCAGAACATGTCAGGCCCACGTCGACCTCCGCTGTGGATTCATTTTTTATAAATGTATCACAGATCCACTGCCGGAGAGCTGCCTCCTTCATCCAGAGGTGAAGACAGTGACAGCGCCAGTGTGACAGGTCGCGATCAGCTGAGCTGGCTCACCTGCAGCCAAGAGACGTGTGTCAGCAGCACTTGAATAAACAGTCACCCCCTGTTCTGGCCTTGGATCGGTTTCAGACTCGTTCATTGCCAGGATGTCAGTGCTTACTGTGTTTGTTTGGTTTTTTTTGTTTCAGGTCGACTCGCCTCTGAATCTGAAGCATCCACATGACGTTGTGATCTTCATGAGGCAAGAGAGTCGTGTGAACTACCTCAAGAAGCTGGAGGTGTGTGGTTTCCACTTTGACTATGTTGACTATGTTATCCCCCCCCCCCCACTATGTGACCCAGATCTGATGGTTTAATGTCGGTGTGAACGGCACAAATCACGTGGAATCTGATCTTTTCAAATCACATGTGGGCCACTTTCACATGTGGTTCTAAATCCGCTATATAGATCAGATTTTTTGAAATGCGACCTCAGCGTGAACAGCTGTTTGACCCGTATCCAAATTCAATGCGACTTTTATGTCACTCTACGTCAACATTCCTCATAATTTTGTGAAGAGGTGCGTGGGAGTTACTCAGCGAAAACAAACATGGAAGACAGCTGCAACAGAGGTAGCCAGTCGAGGGACAGTGAGGTTTTAGACCTCACGTCTGTACAAGTTGACGGGTCGTATCATAACCGGTCTTTGTTTTAATGCATATCAGGAGAAAAATTTAACCGCAAACGCTCACATCTGTGGTCTCCGCATGTTTATTACGGACTTCTTCTCTTAGTTTACTTCCATAGACATATTCCAGCGCGCTGCATCTGCCTTCTTGTTATTCTTCTTCTCATGCGGGTTACATCATGGCCGTGACCATTTCACATTGGAGTCTGATCCAGGCCACACCTTAAAAGATAGTGCGACCAGTTACATAAAACAATCGGATCTAGAATAAAATTGAAGCACCAAGACTTGCAGTATGAACATAGTGTTTGGCTGTGTCATGTGCAAGGATGCTGTTTTAGTGACTGTTTCTGTCTGGTCATTCAGGTCAACCTCACCAACTCTCGAGTTTTGGCTTCACGTTTTCTGTCAATTGCCCATTTCTTGTCCACACATTGATTGATCATCCTTGATTCGTTATTGAGCAGAAGCAGCTCGTGGCACAGAAAATTCACATTGAGGAGAATGAGGACAGAGACACCGGGCTGGAGCAGAGACACTACAAAGAAGATGCTGACTGCGTCATGGCTAAGGTACCCCTGGGAGACCTGGACCTGTACGATGGAACTTATATCTCATTGGAGAGCAAAGACATCAGGTATGCTCCTCTCAATAAAGCACATCATTGTCAACATTATTATTCTCATCTCTACCCTGTTTTGGATGTGGAGGTATTAAATGTCTGTTGTTATTAATGCGCTTGTCATCTTTAAACAATTCTCTCCTTCCTGCAGTCCTGAAGACTATGTGGATTCACGGTCAGCTCTACCTCCAGATCTAGAAAAGCCTGACTGCGCAAAAGTGTTTGAGCTACCTTATAGTATCCATGCTTTCCAGCATCTAAGGGTGAGTGGAGGTCAAACTTGTCGTTACAAGATAGAAATGACTCACATTAGCATCACACAGTGAATATTTTGTTCGAACTAATATGCCAAAGTACTCCTCTGTTTTTAAGCGGGGGAAGCACCTGTGATGCTGTTACATCTCCAGTACAAGGTTAAATAGGATTTTTGAAAGTTTTTTTTCATGCAAACATCGAACTTGGAATGTAATTTACTCTTAGTTTGGTTAAACATGCTTTTTTTGACCGAAATGCTGTTTGTGAAGAGTATTTAAGGGGTAAAAGAACAGACACATGTCGAAGATGATAAAAAACAACCAGAATATGGGCTCACAGTTGAAGTAGTCATTGGCAGATTTAAAGTATGCCTATAATGGATTTTTTGTATTACTCTGTGCGCTAACAGCAAAAGCAGTCTTGAATAAATCAGTTCTGGCAAAGGGTTAGTGAAACTTTAGACCAGAGCACAGAAGATGAGATATCAGGTGGATATTTAATGTCAAATATATAAATACTGATGCTATTTAAGTTTCTCAGTCAAGGAGGCTCAGACAACTTCATGAAACAAAACGCAATGTTGATTGTTTTAGTAATGCTTCAGTATTGACCCTAACATCTTAATGTGAAATTCAATCTAAAGAGCAATGGTGGAGGTAGATGTGTGTCAATAGATTAGCGCCCAGTTATCTAGAAGTGAAAAGAAAACAGTTTCAGTCCTCCCTTTGTAACAGCTCAGAGCAGAGCAGAGCTCCAGACTAACTTTCCACTGTTGGCACTAGCGCTGCCAACCTTCTTACCAAACACATGATTTGTTCACACCCTTTTTCAACACTCTTCCCATATGTTGTTTGATATCACACCTAAAAACTAAGCATGAATCATGTTGCTGGCATAAGTTGGATTCACTTTCTGCCAGTTTTTCTCAACCTGTTTGATGTTGGATTTGAAATTTGTGAAGCAGAGTTTCTCATTCACTGTGTTATTGGCGGGGTTGAACTTGATGACAGTATTGTTTGACATACTCTCATCTAACCACTGAAAGGAAGTGGGGAGAGGCTCTGTGATTCAAATGAAGCATCTGTTACTGCAGGTTTTCTGTTTCTCACTGTGGGTTTGCATCTTCAAAGTTTCAAGCTTGAAATAAGTTGATCCTGGAACAAGTTTAGAGTTGCCAGCAATGGACAAACCTCATAGCATCGAATACACACACTGCATAACATCGCTGTTGTGCCACAACCATGTCAGTAATGCATTGGTACTTTTTCTTATTCAAACTGTCTCCCTTTCTGCACTATCATCAGTTAGTTCTCAGTGGAGACCTCTCATTGGCTCTCCCTCTCCTTATTTTGTTTTCTAAAATCAGCAGCTGTACAGTTCATCATCTTTGGAACATGGTAACAGATGTTTAGTAGTGAGAGACTGACTGAACCAGTGAAGACGAAAAAGTGCCACTTTCAACCACAATTGCTGTCTTTGCCAGTACAGGACCGAAATAACTTCAGGTTTATTTTGTACTTGAATGTGACCATATGAAATTTGAACTTGCACACTTTCGAAAAATGGTAGTTAATGCGACCACTTTGGTTGCAACGTTGAACCTTGGCTCAGAGGGAAGCTTTTTTTTTCTGTACAACGTTAGGTCACAGTTTATCAACAACATTTTCTACAAGATGATAAAACTAATTTTCTCTTTTAGTGCCAGAGTTCAACACATTTATTACTGAGATATGCAAGTCAATGTTATCTGTTTGTCAAGATCTCAAGAACTACATGATCTTTATCTTTAGGTCGCATTCAAGTCTCTGGAGTAAGTTTTTATTAGTATTTTCAAATGCCAATGACTAAAGTTAATATTAAGCTACAGTCACAGTGGACAAACCAGAGAAGTCCACTATATTTCATTGAGTCATCCTTTGATTGGCTTTTTTTGATTTATTGGGTTATTCCACCATGTTGGTGAGTGGGCACCAGCACATCTGCTTTATTTGTAGATACATTTCAAGTGTGTTTTTGGAAAGTTGATATGCTGTTTATCTAGTTGTAAAATACTTTTCAGTTAGCTTTGCTGTCTGGTGAGGTCAGTTGGACTGGGACAGCGATGTGGGGTTTGTGTTGACTGATCATATTCTAAAAGTAAGTGATTGTGAATATGTGTCTGTTCCAGGGTGTGCAGGAAAGAGCAAACTTGACCTCCCCACTTCTTTCGAAGGAGGACCCCATTTTTAGTGCACTGTCTCATAAGTTGGGCCGCAGTGTGGATGAGGTGGGCCACCGCATCCACCAAGGTTTACTGAGGGTAAGGTCTGCCAGTACAGCTTTACCTCACAAAGCTACATCTTCTTTTTGGGAAAACATACATACTCAATTCTGTAGCCAGAGGAGGAAATATTAGCAACTGTCATTTGCACATAAGTAAAGCAAGAAGCTACATGGCCTAAAAGTTAGTTCTTTGAAAAAGTTTAAAATTAACTGTGTGTGTGCTTGTGTTCACTGTCTGTGTTTTCTAGAATTCCTCATCATGGGTTTTATACAACATGGCGTCATTTTACTGGCGTATGAAGAACGAGCCTCAGAGAGCAGTGGACTGTGTGGTCCGTGCTCTGCATTTTTCCCCAAGGTACTCTAACGCTGTTCATAAAACCCACAGCATTGGTGAACTGTGCAATATTGTATGAGGCCGCTCA